AAAAAAAAAAAAAAAAAAAGAAAAAAAAGAAAAAGAAAGAAAGAAAGAAAGAAAATAAATAAGATGGGTGGAGGGTATAGGGGTCCTGGGATAGCAGACCCTGTCCTGCAGTGGGGATTTCATGACCTGAGACATGGTCACTAGCCAGCCTCCCTGCTTTTATATTTTTTGTTTTTTTATGGGGCCCCAGGAATGGAGATAGATAGATATATTTCACTAGTGGTAAAATTCACAGGACATAAGATTTACCATTTTAGCTATTTTAAAATGTACAGTGCAGTGGCATGTAATACATCAGAATATTCTGCCACCATCACCAGGTGTCTGTGCTTAAAGGAAATTAGGCCATTAGGCAGTCACTCCCCTCCCCGGGCTTTGGCAGCCGCCAATCTGCTTTCTGCCTCTGCCTTCTGTTTGGGGTGAGTGGAGTCTGACGTGTGGCCTTTGGTGTCAGCACTGTGCTCTCCGGGCCCCTCCATGCTGTGCCCTGGCGCAGGGCAGGACCAGTCCTCCTCCCCTCCCAGCTGAGTGGGCCCCCCTGTGTGGGTGGAGCACGTTTATGGATCCAGGCCTCTGTTGGCGACAGTGGGTGGCTTCTGCTTTGGGCTGTTGAAAATAGAGTGGCATGAGCGTGCACACACCAGTTTTTGTTTGAGCACTGCTTTTAATTCTTCGGGGTTTCACTTACTGAGAAGACAGCAAACTGTTTTCCGCAGCAGCTACACCACTGCACGTTCCCCTGAACCTGCGAGGGTTCCCTCACGGCCACATCCCCGTCGGCGCTTGTGCTTTTCTTTTTAAACAAGTTACAGGCTGGGGCTGGGGTTGTGGCTCAGTGGTAGAGCGTGTGCCTTGCACCTGTGGGGCACTGGGTTTGATTCTCAGCACCACATAAAAGCAAATAAGGGTATTGGGCCCATCTACAACTAAAAAAATTTTTAAAAAAATTATAGTGAGCCTGAAGTGGCATCTCATGGTGGTATCCATCTGCCTTTCCCTAGTGACTAGTGATGTCAAGTACCTTTTCCTGGGGTTTCTGACCTTGCTATTACCAACTATGCCATGGTGGACAAACCACTCTCCTCCTCTGGGCCTCTGTTTCTTCATCTGTCCTAGCTGGCCTGGGTAAATGACCTACAAGGCCCCTGAAAGAGTTTTGAAAACACTGAGCCCCTTTGGCACTGTTTAAGGTTGATATGTATTTTTTTTTTTCACCACTAAGGGCACAGAGTATCTAATTTTCTGGGTATTGCCAATTTTGACATTTTAAAAATAAAACCGATCATTACTTTATAGACGCAAAACCCACCCTCTTTTCCTGCTTCCCCTGTCATCGAGCCAGTCACAGTCCTCAGTGAAAAGCCAAAAAGGAACCTACTTTGCACCCCTAGATACACCAAAAATCAGAGTTCCCAGATAATAGGTCTTGGGCACCTCCTGTGAACCTGAGCTCCGTCCTGTGCGGTCTTGGCTCTGACCTTTGTTTTACCATCCTGGGTTCTGGTCCAGGGTTAGCAGGATCTGAGAAGGTGGCTGCTAGCCCCTCGGGACGGGTGGTGGGAATTGATATTCTGGGTTCTCATGCTGTTTTCCCTTTGAACACTTGTTGGCTTTTTGTGAAGTATTTTAAACTGCTCATCAGCCCTAAGGTCTGCCTCCTCTACTCTTTGCAAGAAAATGTTCCCTGAGTGTACCTGCCTCAGGCTTTCCTTGGGTAATTCCTTCATGGTGGGGTGGGGTGGGGGAAGCAGCAGGGAGAACACTTGGGGCCCAGTGAGATGCAGATGGGGTGACAGTGACAGTGGTGCCCACAACACACAGTTCAAGGGCAAGTTCCTGCTCCCTTCCTCTCACCTCTGGCTCGGTCCATTTCTTTCACTGAACTTGACTAATAGAAATGTTTTATGCTTGGAGAGAATTCACTGACCACCCAGAGTCTCTGCCATAGGAACATGCACATAATTTAAATTTAAAATGCTTTTGTTTCAGTGTTTAGCAAATCTGTTTTGGATAGAGTGACTGATGACACCAGCATAGATACGTGAAAGTTGTGGCAGAAGTTTATTATATATGAAATAAGTTAAATTTTTGCAGGGCTCTACTTCCTAGTGAGAGGGACGGGTGTATGTGTGTGTTTCAAATGGCCCAGGTGTCCTTGGATAAGTATCAGTGTCAGAACCAGTTCCATCCCTGTTTTTTTCATTTATTGGTGTAGACGATGGCAAACTGGTTTACATAAGTTCACGCACCGTAGTGAATAGTTTTGTTAGAGCTGTGTCACTCTGCTTTTTGAACTCTGGAGATTGAAGCCCAAAGCCATAAAATGATCCTTCACTCAAACCACCACAGAACCCTTGGCCCCATGTGTTCTCCCCGCTGGGAGCCAGGACTCAGCTTCTTGTTCCCCAGGTGCCCCTCCTGCAGCCATGTGGGATGGGGGTGTTATGGATGGGATGTGGGGTGTGCCCCAAAAGCTCACGTGTGAGACAACCAAGGAGGTCTGGAGGAGAAATGATTGGGTCATAGCCTTCACGTAATCACTGGAGTGATCCCTGGTGGGATTAACTAAGTGGAGGCAGGTATGGTGTGGCTGGAGGAAGTGGTCCATTTTGGGGATGGCCATGGGGTAGATATTCTGTATCTGGAGAGTGGAGCCTTCATCTCTGCAGCCTGATCCCCATGTGAGCTGCTTCCCTCCCCCATACTCTTCCACCAGACGTCCTGCCTCACCTCCAGCCCCGAGGAATGCAGCTGGCCTTCTATGGACTAAGACCTCTGAACTGTGAGCCCCTAAATACACCTTTCCTCCTCTACATTTGTTCTGGTGGGGTCTTTCAGTCACAGCAGTGAAACAGGGGTGTCCTCCAGAGGTGCCTGGAGGTCTGTGATTCCCTGGGCCCAGCTCCTCACTGGCGTGTCCAAAGTTTGGGGACACCCTGAGTCTGGGGCCAAGTGCTCAATGGCTACACTAGCGCCAGGCTCTTGGGGTAGGGTTCCCCTGGGAGATTGCCAGCAAGAGTGTCAGGGAAGTGTGAGGGACGGGGACTCTGGGGTGGTGGCGCTGAACTCCTGTCACTAATAAGGGCTAGGGCCCACTGCTGCGGCTGAGACCACGGGTCCCTGGGGTGACCCAGGCAGTATTCAAAGCAAAGGAGTCACAGAGGTCAGGGGCAGCTCCTGTCTGATGCGCTTGTGATTTTGCTTTGGAGTCCCCTGCGCCAGCCAACCCCCAGGGGCATGTTCCAAACGCACTGCTCAGGCGTGGGGTCTGTGTGCGTGTGTGTGTGCGTGAGAGAGAGAGATACGGTGTGTGGGCTGGGATGCAGTGCATGCGGTGTCAGTGTGTATGCGGGTGTGCACAGTGTGTGCTGTGTCGTCTGCCTGCATGTGTGCGGCGTGTTTGTGTTACACCGTGTGCCTGTGGTGGGCGTGGAGGGACAGGCCGGTGTGCGTTAGAGGGGATGTGCACTGTGCGCCGGGTGCCCGCGGCCGTTCGTCTGCACCCTGCTCCAGGCTCTGCCGACYGCGGCGACGGTTGCAGCCTGCAGCGCGGGAACGCAGCGCCGCGGAGCGAGCCGAGCGCGGCGGGTAACCATGGCAACAGATGCTCCTGCCACCCCGCGCAGCAGGGGCCGCTGCGCACCGCAGTCGGTGGGCGTGGGGGAGGGGAGGCCGCGCGCCCCCAGACACCGGCGGCGAGCCCTGCTGCTCTGGGCTCGAAGCTTCCCCGACGTCGACACCCTCTGGGTGCACCCCGGGAGCGTTCGCACGCCCGTCCTCCTCATTCCCGGCTGCTTGCCTGGGGACCAGGGAACCTCACTCGGGCTCAGTGTGGCCTGGGGTCCCCTTTGCAACGCGCTCACCGCTGTTAGGCGGGAAGCCGCAGGCGTGGTGGTCGGCTGCCCATCCCCAGTGCTGGCCGCACAGCTGCCCGTTCTGAGGGTGGGGAGGCCGCCGCCTTAGGGCCCTGGGCGGCACCTCAAGCAGAGCTGTCCTGTTGTGTGAATATACAGATGTTCCTTCTGCCCCACCCCCCGAAGACCCGAGGGACCCCAAGTTGACAGGGTGGGGAAACTAGGTTGGTATCAGCAATAGCACCTCGGGGGAGAGGGCTGGCCAGGTCCCACCGGAATGGACTGTGCCCCTTCCCACGGCCACCCAGAGCCGCCTGGTGAGGCCCCTTGGTAGCCTGCCTCACCCCAGGAGGTCGGCGAGGTTCTCACTCCTCCGTCCATGACCTTTATCAAGTGAGGGATTCTAGAGCATGGTGCCCAGGCGGCGGCAGGACTGGAGACCAGTCAGAAGTGGACACTCCGGGCCCTCCGACCCGCGCATTCAGAGGGGTGTGTGCCCCAACCCCGCGACTGACGGAACAGGAGGCTGAGAGGGGAGGCTCGCTGGTATTGGCAGCCTTTGGGCGAAGCACAGGGCCACAGTGCCCCTTCCTTCACGGGGTCCCAAGAGAGACCTGGCCCTGGAAGTCCTCGTTCTCTAAGGGCTCCATCTAAGACCGGAGCCGACTCTCAGCGGTCCTCGACCCCCTCCCGGGGCTGGATCCAGCAGCTCTGCGGGCGCTGCAGAGGCCGGAGGAGCGGAGGAAAAGACGGATCCCAGTTCCTCTCGGTGCGTCCGGAGCGGCCGGAGGAAGCTCSGGCAGGCGCTGAGGAGCGCACGAGCGCCGCCTCCTGGTGACAGCGCCAGAGCCGCTCTAAAGGGGCGGGGCCACCTGACAAAGGGGGCTTTCTGTGTCCCCGCTGGGGCACCCTGCCACAAACCAGCCCGCGTTACTGCCAGCCCCTGGACTAGTAGATGATGCCCGACTGTCACTGTGTTTCAGCTCTGGGTTTCCTTGGACTCTGCTTCATGTGGGTTGATAGTGGACACGTGGCACATCTCTGTCCACAGAGAGGCCCGACGCTGCCCTCCAGAAACTTCCTGGCTGGCCAACTAAATGAACTCATCCTTTGTTACTTAATTYTATTTTTATTTATCTTTTATTTTGATGTCAAATTCTATACAGAACTGGTGAATTTTATTGTGTTCTTCAAGAATATCTTCTTCACATTTTAAAATCGCTGCAGGTTACTTCATTCTAAAGGGAACATATTAAAACAGCAACAASAATAACAAAAGCCAGAAAATCAGTAGCAGGRACCCGAATTGAAGGTGATCTTTAAAATCAAATACATGACAAATAAAGCCAGGTGACATTTCATTCTGGCCCCACTGCTCTGAGCTTGGCCTCCGTCCTCACCACACGGGAGGGTCATGAAAGACATGGGCGGATCACCTGCTCGAACCTTTCTGCTGGAGAATCAACAGGGTGAACTTGAAAGGGGAAGGGACTTTCTCACTCTTAGATACAAAAGCATTTGTCAGTCTGTCTTTTCAGAATGCTTGGGCCAGAGCAGTTTGTGAGGACTAACTCATTTTGTCACGGGGACCACCCTGTGAGACGGTGCTGCCATGGTTCCCGAGTTAACAGATGAGGCACCGAGACCAGAGAGACGGGCAACTTGCCCAGGGCCATGGAGCTGGTGAGCTTTGGAGCTGGTGGGAACTGAACTTGAACCCCGGACATGCTGCTTGGAGTGTGCCTCCACACACATTGCACATACAGGGCCGCAGAGATGGGAAAACCAGCCCCTGTGGGCATCTAGTCTGTGTCCTGACCTGGGAGGCTGGTCCTGTGGACAGTGGGACAGACAGAGGGTTTTCCTCCATCCTCTTTCCTCTTTCCTCTGGAGTCTCCACGTACCTGCTGGCCCAGACCCCAGAAAGCAGACTCCAGGGGCAGGGCTGTGGCTCAGTGGTAGAGCGCTGGCCTGGCACGCATGAGACATGGGTTCCATCCCCACCACCACATAAGAAACAAACAAAACCAAACCTAAATAAACAAAATAAAGGTATTGTGTCCATCTACAACTAAAAATATTTAAAAAAAAAGAAAGAAAAGGAAAAAGAGAGCAGGCTCAGGGGCTGAGCCAGTGTGGCCACCTTGAGTGTGAGTCCGGGGGGTTTCTGGGGTTGGTGGTGCCTTGCCTGCCCCTGTGAGTGTGCGCCCCTTCTTGGCTGTGAATGTGGACTCTCATGCTCTCCTCACCAGGACAGGGCAGGCTCAGGAAGGCCAAGACTGGAGCCGGGCCCATCCAGGCAGAGCCCCAGTCCAGCCAGAGCTGGTGGGGGTGGGGGGCTGGCCTGGGCAGGGCCTGGGTGTGGCTGCAGGCAGAGAGGATGTTGTCCCTGGGAGGGCAGCCCGTGCTGGAGAACTCCTGGATGTGGGGTCCGAGGCCCACAAGCCAAAGTGCAGAGCTTTCAGGCCTAGGCAGGACCCAGCTCTGGGCAGCTGGTCAGGCAGCTTGGAGTGCAGGCTGGGATGGATCCTGGAGACTGTGGCTGAAGCCAACGGTCCAAGCCTGAGGCCTGGGAGGAGCTCATAGGTGAAGGTAGGCTAATCTGGACAAATGCACACTTGCAAAAATGTGTATGGCCTTGCCACAGGAGAGGGACAAAACTTGGCAAAGTCAGCTGTCTGCAGAGGGCTGTGATCATCCCCTGGCTGCCCTCTACTGGGCACCTGCCTGGGCATGCGTGTGCCCTGTGCTGCCTTCTGCAGATGAGAGCCTCATCCTTGGGTAGCACAGGGAGGTGGGCATGCTGTAGAGTCCCAAGTTTCGGGTGAGGAAATTGGGGATGGGAGAGGTATGGGCTGTGCCCAGTGCCACAGCTCCTGGGGGATCAGGACTGGAACACATTTGTCCTCCTCCAAAGCCTAGTTTCTAAAACACAGTTTTGAATGCATAGCACTTAAGGGGTTTCATATGCAAAATGTGCAGGAGAAAGTCCTCCGCTGCTGGCCCCGTACCGTACCGGAGCAAATCAACACGACCTTATTTGCTGTTTCCACCTTGTGTGTTCTTGCTGAGCGCCAGGGCTTGGAGACAACACTGCTTCCCTGTCAGGTCACAAAGAGCCGCCTCATTCCGCTTCCTTCCCAGMGAAAGCCCACCCTTGCTCCAGGAACGGCTGGCTGTCCAGCGGGGGGCCGTCCTCAACAAGAGTGAATTGCTTCTCCTGTTTGCAATGTCCTAGGGAATTAGCAGTTTATTACATACGGGGCCAGTTCCTGGACTGCATGGAAACCAGCCGCCCTGGGGAACAAAGTGCCCTCATGTTGGTGACTGTGACCTGCCAACCTGGATGGGACTGTGATGGGATGGGTCCCTTTATCCCGGGGTTCTTTGTGCTGGGCAGTGCCCTCCCAGGTGATGGCAGTGGAGGCTCAGGGCTCGAGGCTGGAACTGGTRGCCAGGGTTCCAGGGGCAGTGTCAGCATGCTCTTCCCGGCTGCAGCTCCGTCCCTGCAGGGCTCCTGTGTGCCCCCATGTGGCCACAAATGGCAGCGCCTCTTCTGGGACTGGGAGGACCAGGGCACTTCCCCGGGCCTGGTTCTGGAGAGAGGAGAGCGCTTGCTCTACCCCTGCCAATCTTTGGCCAGCTCCTCTGTGTGGGCCTGGGGCACTCTCAAGCCACAGCCGGGGGCTGTGTGGGACATTCCTTTCGACTGTGACACATACTCCAGGCATGGCTTTGGAGAAGGAAACTGGCCACAGGACGTGGCCTGAGCTCCATACTGGGCTCACCAGCTGGGCTGGAGGCGCTGAGCCGTGGAGCAGGAAGCCAGCTCTCAGCCACATTGCCACAGACGTGGCTCCTGAGGCCGGCTCTGGGTGCTGCTCCCAGCAGGGACCTCATGCTGCCAGCTTCAGGTCCATCAGGGAGAGAATCTGCACCACAGGATGGGTCGGGGGGGGGGGGACGCTACAAGCCAGGGCTTTTGTTCTGGAGAGTGGGCTTGCTAGCACACCAGCGTCTCTGGGGGACCCTCCTCGGGGATGTGCCTTTCTGTCCCTTGCTTGTGAAGTACTCATGTCCACTGGCCCCCGTGGTTCTTGGGGAGAACAAAGGGTTGCGAGTTTCTGCAGACATGCYGTAGGGACGCCACGGTGTCCTCTCTGTGCCGGCAGGCTCGCTTCCAGGACCTGAACCTCAGACGCACAGAGGGGCCCATGTTGTAGCCAASAGGACTCAGGACCAGTTTTCAGGGATTGAAAACTGTTCAGACACAGCTCTGTCCCTTTGCATGGGTCAGCCACAGCGTCTGGGCTCCGACATCCTCATCTGTATGAGGGGCTGGGTGGAAGGGTCTCCAGGGTCTCTTCCAGCTCTGACATTCAGCCAAGTGTCCCCAGCCACCCACCAGCCGCCCACATCCCACCACGAACATCTCCAGATCTCTCCTGGAAATTCCGCCCCGTGGCCAACCGGCTGCACCCTCTCAGTGGGCCACTCCCTCCTCCGTCTGCGTTCTGGGGCCAGGGGCTCCTCTCTGGTCCCATGGCCTGAAGCCCTCTCATCCTGTAGGCAAGCCGGTGTTCACACCGCAGCCAAACCGCGCTGGGCACCCAGCTCCAGTGCAGGCTCTGCAGCTGCTTTACCAACACAGAACCCGGGTGTCCAGGCGCCGGCCCCTCCCCAGCATTTCCCCATCTCCAGTGGCTCCACTGCCGCAGGACCTGAACGTCACCACCCGCATTTGATCTTCATCCCTCAGGCATTCTATCTCCAAGAGCCTGAAAACCTTCCGTCCCAGTCTGTCCTCTTGTATCATCTCCACCCTGCCACCAGGATGCCCTGCTGGGACCCCAGCGGCGCCCTCCTAACTGTCCCCAGCTGCTCCCATTCCCGTGTTCCTGCCCCCGAGGTCGGAGCATCCACTCGAACAGCTTCATGGGACCACGCCCGGGTGACCTGGCCGGGGCTCAGACACTCGGCTCTTCCTTTCTTAGGGAAGCGTGCCTACTGCTCCTGGCTCTTCCTGGCCACCCTCCAGCTTAAAACGTCACCCCCACTGCCTGGGGTCAGTCCTGTCCCTCGCCCCGTCACCATGAGCTGCCTGAGTGCGGTCCCCCTCCAGCCCCTGCCGCAAACTTCAGACTTCAGAGTGTGTGGCTTTATTCTGCCTGACCAAGGGCCGCGACTGTACGCAACAGAGGCCCGGGGTGGCCTGTCGCTGGCACATGGGGATGTCCTGGAGCGGGCTGGCTGCTGGGGCGTTCTGGGAACCTGGCCCGGCAGCTCCTCTCCCGACAGAGCTCACTCTGCTTTCTTCCGAGTCGTGGATCTTGTCTGAGGGGCCCAGGGCCCGGGGCAGGCGGAGGGGTTGGCTGCTCTGGGAAGGACCAGGAGGTTGGCTTCTGAGGGAGGGTGAGGCTGCCTGGGCTCCTGGCCGTCCACTCTGTGATGTCCTCCAGCCTGAAGCCAGCAGCTCAAGGGCCTCTCAGGGTCCCAAGGAGTCTCCCCTCTTGGTGCAGGCGGGTGGTCACCAGCTGGGCAGGGTCAGAGCCCGGGGCCGGCTGCCTAGGTGCACGGAGGGGTGATGGTGGGGAGCAGGGAGCCTGGCTGTATCCTCCCTCTTCCTTCCAGCCTCCGGCCTGGCATGGTGGGGTGTTACGTGACCTTGGCCAGAAGAGCCAGGGTACCCAGCAGTGCCGACATCAATGGAGGCCACCCCTTTGGCAGGAGAGCAGACCCCGAGGGCAGTTCTGGGGAGAGAGGAGGGATCACATCTCAGCCCAGGTCCTCCACCGAGGACCAGGGGCTTCCAGCTGTCCCCAAGAGCCCCCAAACTTCTTCCCTCCCCACTCCCAGGGGGGTGTCGGGTGGCCAGGTCAAAGGGTGTGCCGCCTACCTGTGTGCCCGTCTGTGGACAGGGCGGGGGAGGGTGGCCCTCCCTCCCTCGGGCGCAGCATGGGCTTCAGGGTGTCGGGGTCCCCGTCGTTGGGTTCGGGCACGATGCCCAGTAGCTGGCACATGAGCTCGTACACGTGCACACTTTCAAAGGGCTCCACCTCCAGGCCCTCCTTGAAGCTGGGGCCCACGGCCCGGAAGATGGTCTTCATGTCCAGGTCCTGGTTGTCGAAGCCGTGCTCCCCATTGTTGAACTGGACGCTGATTCTCTGCAGGGAGGGGTGGGGTGTCCAGTCCTTGCCGGGAGCCCCAGCACCATGGAGCCCTCTCGCCCTCTGGGCATCCCCTGGGGGTCGGCGCCCAGGTGGGCAGATGGCCATGGGAGGGGTACCAACTTGGGGATGGAGGGATTCTGAGACTCGGCTCCTCTGAATTCTGAGACCATGAAGATGGGCCAAAGACACGGCCTTGGCCTGGAGCCGGGGAGGTAACCGGAAGGGGCTGGGCTTCTAGCGTGGGGCTGGGCTGGGCCTCCTTCAAGGGAGTTGGGGATGGGTGCTCAGCGGCCACCTCCCCTGGGACTGCCTCTCCCTGCTCCACTCTCTGCTCCCCTTCAGGTGCCCTTGGCTCTGTGCCCGTTCTCCCCCGTGGCTGGGCTTCCCACGCCCAGGTGCACCTGCACTCCTGTTCCTAGTGCACACTGAAGGGTGTGTGCCCACACTGGGGACTAGCTAGACACGGGGCTCTCCTGGCCCTTGGGGAGCCGCCTGCCAGTGAGTGGTGCCCCCAACAGGAGCTCACCCCATGGATGACGTAGCCGGGGTCGCTGTACATGACCAGCGGGGCGATCCTGGGGTGGTTGGCGTAGTGGAAGGATTTGGGGAACTGCTCCTTCCTGTAGACGTGCAGCCGGGGGTGGGCGCCCTTCAGCACGCTGTACACCTCCTCCAGCCTCCCCTCCTTGGGGATCAGCATGCCGTTCGGCCCGTAGTCCAGGAGCTCGAACTCGATGTCCTGGAAGGTGAAGTTGGGGAACTTGTGGAACTCCACCAGGTCGCTGGCTGTCTTGTGGACGGTCGTCATGCCGTGGTCAGACGTGACGATCAGGTCGAGGCTGCTGGTGAGGTTGTGGCGCTCGATGCTGTCCCGGAGGTAGCCCACGGTCCTGTCCACCTGCCTCACCATCTCCTTCCTCTGCGGGGACTCTGGGCCGTACTTGTGGCCTGTGGAGTCCGGCTCCCCGAAGTAGAGAGTGACCAGAGCCAGGTCCTCCTCTGTGAACCACCGCATCACCGTGTCGATGTTGGCCCTCCACTCCTTCTCGTCTTTGTAGTTGTGTAGGATGCCCTCCTTCCGACTCAGCGTCACGGCGGTCCCTTGGTAGGTGACGTTCCCACCAGGGTAGAAGAAGGAGCCGGTCTTCAAGCCCTGCAGGGACAAGGCAAGGTGGCACTGAGCCCTCAGGACCCTTGGCTGGCAGCCCTGCTCGTCCTGTGCCCACGCCCACGTTGGCCGGCTCACTCGCCCCTCTCCTGCCGTGTTCCTCAGGCTTTTTATTTTCTGAAGCTTATGATTCAGTCTGTTATGTCTGTCGTTCGTATGGTCCTGGGTCCCTGCGTCAAGCCTGACCTGCCCAGAGTCCTCTCTGGCCCAACGGGTGCAGGCAGGTGTCTGTCCATCTGTCTGTCTCGTGCCGTCCCCTGCCCTCCAGACTTCAATCTAGTCATTCATCTTTCCATAAATTGTTGCCACTTCATTTCCAGATCTGTCTGCCTCCTGCCCTGGCCAGCAGGCCCACCTGCCAGCTCACTGCCCCAAGCCATGAGATGCCAGGTCCTCGCTCTGACACTCTGCTGCCGGAGGGGGCCCGAGCCCTGCATGGACAGGCAGGAGGGGACTTAGGTGTGTGGAAGCACTGGCTGTCAGGCGGGCTGGGCTCAGAAGTGTCCTCTGGGCTCACCTGGAAAACCTCCCCTTGAACTTATGGCCTGGAGCGGCACCTCGGCGCTGTGTGGGGCGGGATTCCTGGCTGCACACCGCCACCACCCACCATGCCACCCGTGACCCTGCAGAACTCGGCTGTCCAGCCCGTGAGGGCCATGGGTGCCACGCAGATCAACCAGGTCGCTACATGCTTCCTCGTGGTCAGTCCTGCCCTGGGGCCACCAGGGAACCAGCTACTCAGCTCTCACCAGTGCTGGACTCCCGGCAGGCCACGGGCTGGGCTCTCCCACTCTCACAGCCTTGCTGGCCAGGTCCCCGTCCCCTCTGGCGTCCGTGCGGGCAGGGCCATGTTACCTGCCTCTGGGCTGTGATCCAGATGGGCACGCTGCCATTGTCCCACCAGCTCTGGATGCCGAGGGTGGCGTGGTAGGGCAGCTTCACCTTGGTGGTGAAGTTGTAGAACATGTTGTGGACGACCCCGTGGTTCTCGATGTATTTGCCTGAGGGAGGAGGAGGCGGCAGGGCGCGGAGGTGAGCCCGGGAGAGAGCCTGGCGCATCCTGCACTTGCCTCCCCTGAGCCCTGCTGCTCGCCACTCAGATGGGATGGGGTCTCTGCTTTGCAAGCCCCCCGGGAGCTTTATTTGCCCCTGGTCAGTTGCCACCAATGGGGAGGGTCCTGTGGGGACCCCCTCTGCAGCAGGTTTCTCACTTTGGCGTGCATGGTGCCTGGGCAGGGCTGTGCCCGCTCACCTGGTGTCTCAGGCCCTGCCTGCCCCCAGGCCCGGCCAAGGTCAGCACTCACCAGTGACCAGCGTGAAGTGGCAGGGGCTGGTCTGGGTGACGAAAGCCGGGGTCATGTAGCGAGCTTTCACCCCTTCCCTAGCCATGGCGTCCAGGTGGGGGGTCTCCACGTCCAGGTCGTAGTTCCAGCGGAAGCCGTCGAAGGACACGAGCAGCAGCTTGTTCTGGCGGTCCTGCCTTGGGACGGGCACCCCAGCCCCCGGAGCCAGCAGGGTGGCCAGAGCCCCAGCGAGGAGGGTGGCTGAGGCTCTCATGACGGCTCTCCAGAGGGACAGGTGCAGGGCGTCTCAGGCCCCGGAGGGCAAAGTCCCGGGGTCAGCTGGGCCGTCTTATCTCAGGCTTCTTCAGCGATGGGCGGGCACACAGACCTGGACGCAGGAACGCTCCAGGCCCCGAGTGGACGCCTCTCAGTGTGGGCTGCTGGGCACCTGAGCATCCCTCTCCTCCCAACAGGGCCCTGGGTCCTTGCTGCTCCCTCCCTGTGCCCCAGGGTGGGCGGGGTCCTACACAGACCCCAGCCCTCAGCAACTCCTGGCTTACTCTGACCCAGAGGACACGGGGGTGGGATGGACTCCCTCTCCAGCCAACAGTTTACCTGGCGAGAGCCTGTGGGTGGGCTTCCTGGGCCTGGGCCAGACCCAGCCCAAGGCCTGCCTCATCCCTAGGGACCTCCAGCCTGGCCCCTTCCCTGTCCTCTTTGTCCACATGGTGGTGGCCTGGGCCGGGCGGTGGCTGTGGGAGCGGGGATATGGCTGGACTGGAGGTGGATTCTGGAGGTTTTGATGAAGTACTTGCTGCTGGCTGCGTGGGAGTGAGCCGCCCTCTCAGTCTTGTTGAACAGCACACCGGCCACAGCGGCCCACTGCCCCCTGAGTTCTGCTACAGCTAGCAGACACTGCCACAGAGCGACGCCACCTCTGTGTGCCCTCACAGCATCAGCAGCCCCCGCCGAGGCGCAGCCGTGTTCCCTGGCCAGGCCCACGGGGTGGGCGTCTGGGCCCTCCCTCCCCAGGCCCAGGAAGCACACTTTCTGGGGAGGCTTCCTTGCCACCAGCCTTGGTGAAGCTGGTGCGTGCTGAAGGCTGGGAACCACAGGGCAGGTTGGTGACCACCATGAGAGGCCCACTCGGGGCTGAGGCGCAGGACAGCCACGGAGACTGGCCCCCTGCATTGCACAGACTCCCAGTGCAGGGGACACTGCCACAGCAGAACTGCAGGCGGCTCTGGGAGAGGGAAGGGGCTTCCCGTTAATGAGCGCTGGGGTGAGAACCCAGAAGGCCCCTCTGCTCACCTGGGATTTGCAGGAGAGCTACTTATAGGATGGACTGACCTGGGAGGAAGAGGGTAGGAAGGCTTCCTGGGAGAGGGACACACGTGGAGGTGAGGGAGTACTGGAGCTGGGAGGTGGGCAGGCGGTCCTGTGGGCTGTGGAGGGCTCCAGGTGTATGCTGGGCTGGGCAGGGGAGTCATCCCTGGTATCTGTTCTTCTGTGGCAAGATGGCTGCTGAGAAGGAAGACTCCATTTCCCAGCATTCTGTGCAGTGAGGCTTAGCCATGTGACTAGGTCCTGGCCAATGGGATGGTAGAAGCCATCATGTGGGTTCTCCCAGCCTCTGGCTAGAGTGCAACTTCACTCTCCTTTGCTGATTCTTGCCTCTGGTGCCTCCAGCACCAAGGACCCAGAGCTCCTGGGATGGTGGGAACTAGCCTAAAGAGCCTGGTCCCCCAAGGTGTCCTGGGCAGTGGCCCTGCCAGCTGGCCCAGGGCTGCTCAGCCCCAGGCTGCATCCTCCCAGGGGGGATTAAGCCCACTTCTCCATGATTTGGGCTGGCAGTCACTCTCAGGGGACCTCCTCTTAGCTGAGAGAGCCCTAGGCCTGGGTCCTGGGGTTCAGCTGCCAGGAGGGGGCGGGAGGCAGGTGAGTCAGGAGCTGGTCCGCAGTCCAGGGCCTGGCCAGGGCTGGCTGCCTGGACAGGAGTGGATGTGCTGGGGCTGGCGCTGGCCTTGGTGGCCGGTGGACTGAGTTCTCTGCATTTCCTCTGACTGACTCCTGCCCAGGTTTTGACAGTTCTGTGACCTCACCTTCTCCGGAGACCTGCTCCTGATAGTCCCAGGAGTCTCAGCCAGGCCTGGGCTGCTGCACCTGTTCTTGGCTCTCTGCTCACTCACGGGTGGCCACGGGAGCTCCTTGGCCCATAGGCTTCCCTTCCTAACCTCATGGGTGTGCGATGGTTGGTTCTAGTGATGGGTAGAGGTGTTTCCCATATCCCGGCACTGGGCTCTATCCAGGGTCTCATCAAGCTCCGAGGTGGTTCTTTGAGGCAGAACTTAGGAACAGCCTTGCTTTACAGGTAGGAAGCTGGGGTAGAGAGAGGGTAAGGTGGCTTGGTGAGTGGAGGGGCTGACGTTCTGCCTCCAGAGCCCCTCTTTTAACCATGTCTGCACACCACCAGTTTACCAGCCTTTGTTCATAGGATCCCATTTCAGACTCCGGGGCTGTTGGCTTCTTTAAGAAATAGTGCAGCCATGCTGGTCATGCACGCTGGGTCCCCCCACCCCGGTTCCCTTTCTCCTCTCCATTGCACGGCTTCCTTGGGGTGCACTGCCTAGAGAGGGGCTGTTGGACAGGGATGTGAAGGCTGCATTGTCATCGGGATGTTAGATACACAGACTGACCTTGAGCTGACTCCATCAGGCTCTTCTGTGTCAAGGCCTGACCTTGGCCTCTGTCCTTGGCCTATTTAGTCCAAGTTTAGGGAAAGTCTTGCTGTCTCAACCTAGTGAAATGTCTGAAAATCCCATCTGACTGCCCTGTGGGTAGCTCTCTGCTCAGAGTCCTCCTCCCGTGGCCCCCACAAGGGTCCCTTCTCACCCTGGTCCACCTGCAGCAGGAATCCTCTGCCACCCCCCAGTCGCCTCCCAAGGGCCCCCCCGAACGCAGCTGCATCCAGACTGTGCTTTTGACTCGGGAGCGTTTGGGGGACCCCCAGATCCACGCCGTGACGGAACTTCTTGTTTCTCAACAGTTTGAGGCAGAGGCAGAGGCAGTGTGAGAGAGCTGCTCCCTGCACCCCGGCCCCGCTCGGCGCCCACACTGTGGGACTCACTGTGAACCCAGGCCATGCTCCCCGCAGCTGTTCCTATTTTTGACCTCAGGCTCTTTCCTGATCCTGATCCCACCCAGGAGCCCACACGACGGCTGGTTCTCAGGCCTCCATGGGCCCCTCTGGATGTGGCCATTGCTGAGACGCCCCTCGTCTTGGAGGATCTGGCGGTTCCGCAGGGCGCTGGGCAGGGGTTTTGTAGGGGGTCCTCTGGTTGGGCCCCCTCTGGGGTTCCTCCCATGGTTGGACCGAGGCTGTGGGGTTTGGGGAGAAAGACTCGGAGTCAAGTGCCTTCTCCTCACATCACACTGAGGACACCCCACCCTCGGGACCCGTCTCTTGGGGCGTCACCTGGATGCCTGGCCGAGTCAGTAGGTCTCAGACTGCTGCCACTCCCACTCCCCTGCCCCGCACAGTGGGCTCATTGGAAGAAGGTGGTGATGGGCGCTCACACTCCAGGAGCGGGGTGTTCTGCACCTCCATGAGGCAGGACCTCCCTAATTTATCTGGGGTTCTGCTGGGGATTCCCCCAGGCCCACTTGCAGCCATTTAATTGGTCAGCGTGACTCGCAGGCCTCTCCTAGACCTTGGGTTGTGACCAGGGCCACTTCGTCTATTTCGTGATTTACGTTGCTCCAGCTTAGGCCATCTCGAGGGCTGTAAGTGGGCTCCCATGTCTGTTTCACATATTGCCACTGTGTGTATATGCGTGTGGCGTGTGTATATGCGTGTGGCATGTGTGTTTGTGTGCACATGTGTGGGCGTGCCCTGTGTGTGCACACATGGATGTGTCTCTGTGGTGTGCGTATGTCACACTTTCTGGCTCTCTGACACCACAATCCTCCCTGCAGTTCCCTGGCCTCTGTCCTGGGTCCAGGCAAGTCTCTTATTTAGGATCTGGGCCCGGGGTTGCTCTTTGCCAGTGAGTGGTGGGAACGGTTTGAGGTCATTGACCCAGCTGTCCTGGGTGGGGGCTCCCCAGCTGTCAGGTGGCCCGAGCTTGGGGACGTGGGGCCGTGTGCAGCTCTGGATGCAGAGGGCTGCTCCCTGAGGACGGATCAGCATGTGTGTGATCGCTGCTTGGGGTTCCTGGTGCCTGGGTCCTCCTTGGCCTGGGGGCTGGGTAGATGGACATCTGTACGGGTGGAGACTGCCCCACGTGGTTGAGTCGTGCGTGGGGCTCAGGCTCCAGAGAACCACGTCTGGGTCTGAAATGGCCCTGCCTGGGCCTGCGCTTGGTCTGTGCTGGTGGCCAAGGCAGAGACGGGGCAGTGCCTCCGTGGGTCAGCGTGCGTGTAGCACCTATTCTCATGGGTGGCCTGGTGTGATGCACTTGGCCACGGGTCTCCCCAGGAGGTGTGAGAAGCACAGCTCAGCTCCTGTCCAGGACCTGGCGCACAGTGGCCTCTCCTGTCCTCCTTGGTCGAGGTGCAGTGGGTGGGTGGTGTCCTCGTGGAACTTGCCTTCTCTGGCCAGGGTGCCGTGGACTGGTGCTCCTGGACCTGGGGGAGGGGAGCAGACTCGTCCCCTGTGTTGGAGTCCTGGAGCCATCAAGTCCACTCCCAAGTTCCCCTTGGTGACCAGTGGCACGGTTGGGTCTGATGGCTTTCCCTGATTCCCAGGGCTGTGTCCCTGGGGGTATCATGCTGGCATGGCCTGCTTTTGGGGACGTTGACAGCAAGGAGCCTGGCTGTGCTGTCTGGCCGGCTTGGAGGTGCCCACAGGGCAGGGACATGGCCACAGTCTTCCCAGACAGGTCCAGGCTGCAATGGTCACTCCCTCAGCCCTCTTGGGAGGCTTCATCCACACGCCCTGGGACAAGAGTCTGGGGGACGGCTGGAGGTTTGCTCTGGGGCCTGGCTGGCACTCAGGCTATGAGCTGACAGTGGTGTCTGGAGGTGAGGGCCACGGCCCACTGAAGCCCAGGGCTGTGGGTGGTAGACGGGTGAGGGGCCAGCCTCTCTCCTGCAGCGACTGAGGTGCCCACCCTGCACCAGCAGACGCCCACTATCAGCACTGCCCCTCAGCCAGCGCTTGTAAGGCAGATGGCTGCTGTGGCCTCTGATTCTGGGCCCAGCCCGACCTTCGCCACCGCAGGATTTTATTAGTGGGACGCTCCGCTGTATCAACTGCGGTGCCTTTATCACTTC